AGCAGGGATACACACAGCCCAGTAGCCTTCCCTGGTCAGCTGGAGATGATGGAGATGTCACCTGCTGGCAGCTGCAGTTGATCTGAGCATGGTGCCCTGAACCCTCCCAGGGTGCTGTCACCTTGATCAGCTTAGCACCAAAAGAAGAGACATTTTAATTCAGAACTTGCTGTGCCCCACAGTCTAAGGCAAGTTTTGCCCCTAATGTGAACAGATGAAGTCACTGCTGGCTTAAAGGGGCATGGCAGGAGCACATCATGAGGGGATACCAACCACAGCAGTGGGTCTGACCCTCATGTTCAGCCAGAGTGCTGCTCTGAGCTGAGAGCAATACTCTGGCCATAATAACCTTGGTTTGGTCCCTTTTAGCCAAGGAGGAGAGGCTTGACAGGTGACTGTAACACAGGTTCTTCAAGCCAATTGTCTTTCTCTGGTTTCATACTAGCTTAAGCTGAGAGCAAATGATTGTCTCATTGGTCTAATCAGAGCTAGAAAGTCCTTTCAAGCAGCAGTTCCCTTGGGAACAGCATATATGCTGCAATCAAACTGTTTCTCACCACTAGATCTTTTTACAAAGGTAATAGGGCAAACAGCGCTTTTTTTTTTTTTTTTGCAAATGCATTTTGCATTTATGACAATGAAAATATATTGGGAACTGTTAAATACAGCTGTTTAGGTTTCTGAAAAACAATCCTTCCTTACAAATTCTGGTTCAAAAGATACATGAATCATGCTTATATATTTTCATATGTAGTCATAGGCATGTGAAATATATTCATATCAGTATATTTGAAGATACACTTGTATTTTGCATATAGCCATTCCATTAACATTGTGAATATTTTCATTTATGACCAAAGTCAGTTTGTAGGGACTGTAGTAATCCATATATTTATACAAGATGTGTGGGTACATCTGTAGTTCTGTCTCCGTGCTGCTGGCTTCCCCCTTGCACTCATCCTTTTAAACCTCCCAGGCACTTTCTACTCCTTCTTTTATTAATTTTTACCATTGAATCACCATCCCAGTTTCATCCAGCTCTGGTTTACCCTGGTTCAGAAGTTCCTTTCACTGGCCCACACACCTCTACCCTGGGCAAGCACCTTCCTTCAGTGGGTCAGCCTGGGCCATGTGGGGCTTTCAGCCCAACACACCTCAGAAGATGTGCCCACCTCTGATTAGCCCATGGCCACCTCACATTCTCCTGCATTCCCACCACACAGGGAGAGCATGAGCTCTTCACACTGATGATCAGGGCTTTGAAAGGAGAGATGTTGATTGTTTTCAGATCCTTCAGTTCTCCATCCTGATTAACGTCTCATATGGAGGAAGTTTATGTAAAGCTGATGTTCACAGGCTCTGCATTATGCAATATCATTCCCTGCTAAGCACTTCTTGTCAACACCTATAGTCTGTTTCTTTGTTGGACTCTTGGTGAAAATTGTTGAAACTTGTGTTTTAATGTTCCTTCTCCTATTATTTATAATATAGTGACTTACAAGTGACAACTAACCAAAACAGTTCTTGGTAGATATTTAATTTTCTGTATATTTTGAGCATGAAGTTTTTATCTTTTTAAAGAAGAGGATGCTTAGGTTAACAATCTCAAAATGTAATTAAAACATAAAAAAGAAAATTTTATAGCTGCCCTCCAGATGTTCTAAAGATTTCCTGTAGGGTAAAAAAGATGTGATCTGTTTCTGAAGTCCTCACACCTTTCAGCAATATTCACTGTCTCAAGCTGCCAGAATTTAATGTCTGCTGAAGATAGACATTTTTGAGAAGAATAAGGAGATGATCCCTTTAACCTCATCTGTTACAGCCCATAGAGGTTATGAGCCAGTGTCCCAGCCAGACAAGATGTTCTCAGTTGCATGAGCTTTGTCTGCTATCAGTCACCCTCATCTTCCCACCCCTCATGCTCCTCAGCAGCACTGTGTCACGGGCTGATTTGTGACTGTCCCTTCAGCAAGGCCACCCCACATCTCCCCACCTGTTGGGTAGCCTGTGGTGCATGAGGAAATCCCAGGCTGGACTCCCTGGAAGAGGCTGCTGTCACCATCACATTTTCTGGAAAAATCCCTTTGCCAGGATTTTTCTCCTGGGAAACTGAGAAGCCTCAGAGAAAAAGGAAAACAATATTATCTCATTTGCTTCTCCTGTGTTTTTTCTGCTTTGGAATGTGGTTGAAGATTGTTTATCCAACATGTGAATTGTTTTTGACTTAATGACCAGTCATGGTCAGGCTGTGTCGGGACTCTGGAAGGAATCACAAGTTTTTCTTTATTATCTTTTAGCCTTCTGTCTGTATCCTTTCTCTATTCTTTAGTACAGTTTTAGTATAACATTCTTTAATATAATATAGTAACATAAAATAATAAATTTGCCTTCTAAGAACATGGAGTCAGATTCATCATTTCCTTCCTTCAGTTGGGGTCTCAGAAAATACAACAGGCTGCCACCCACCAGCAGCTCCTGTCTCCGTTTGAGGTCGGTCTGTCCTTCCTTCACAGCCCTTTGAGCAGCAGGGCAGTGCTGGCTGCCTGCCTGCCCCCAGTCTTCTCAGCAGACTCACCAGAGCACCACAGTTCCAGGGCTGCCTTTTATTTACCCCTCAACAGGGTAAAACCAAGCTTTTTAGGCAGAATCAATTGCTTTTGCAAGGTCTGATGTATCCACACCAGCCTGCTCCCTGCAGGATCATAAAATCAATGGCTTGGGTTGGACCTTGCAGATCACCTAGGTTCAAACTCCCTGCCATGGGCAGGAACATCTTCCACTAGAGCAGGTTTCTCAGAGCCCCATCCAACCTGGCCTTGAACACTTCCAGGGATGGGGCATGCAGATTCTCCTAGCATCCCATGCCAGTGCCTTGCTGCTCCCAAAGTGCAGCCAAGGGCTTTTGCAGCCTGTGAATCATAACAAGAAAACCTGCCAGGGACAGTCTCAATCCCAGCTTGTGCCCACCCCATTGTCTCTACCAGAGCTGCTCAGGAACCAGGATTTTGCCATTCTGCAATTTGCAGTGCAGGGGGAGGGAGCAGTCCTGAGCCCCCCATCAGAGAGAGTTGCATCTTGCAGCATCCCACAAAATCCAGCACCCCTCCAAAATAAATTGCAGAGCTACCAAGACAACATGTTTTGGTGTGTTTAATTTCCTTTTTGTTTTCACTCACACCAAAGGATTTTTGTGTATGAAAACAGCAAAATATATCAAAATTACCTGAGATGAAATTGAGCAGGAAAGGAAGATTACAATATTTTCTCATCTCACCAATATTGGTAGCAACCCTACCCCACAAAATATTTAGCTGAAACTACATTTTCCCAGAGAACTATTTGGTCTAAAGAATGTTTTGCACATTTTTCCCCAGCTGTTAGTTTAGTTTTGGTTGTTTTTTTTTTAATCTCAGTCCTGATGAGCATGTATGTGTTTGGGATGATAATGATTTTGGGATGGGCTCCTCAGCTCACATAGGAGCATGTATGTGTTTGGGATGATAATGATTTTGGGATGAGCTCCTCAGCTCACATAGGAGCATGTATGTGTTTGGGATGATAATGATTTTGGGATGAGCTCCTCAGCTCACATAAGAGCATGTATGTGTTTGGGATGATAATGATTTAGGGATGAGCTCCTCAGCTGCCTGATGCGGCCGGCAAATGAGGAGCTGGGTTTGCCCCTCGTGGTGATGCCGCTGTCAGGATGTCAGGATGCTCTCAGCCCCCTTCCCCTGCCCCAGCCCATTTGGGAGCATCGCCCCAAACCCCCACCCTGCAGAGGCTCCGCAGCTTCTCCGCTCATCGGGATCATCCAAAATCGCACCTGGGGGAGGAGAGAGGGGGCAGTGCTGTGGGAAGCGCTGGTGCCTGCGCAGCTTTGGCTCGTTCTGGAGTTACCCTCTCTGCTTGGGCATCCTCCCCCTCCGCAAACCGGGGAATAACAACGCACCTCAGAGGGGCGGCGGGGTGAGGATCAACCACGATGCCACTTTGGAGCACCATAGACATGCCAAATATTATAATCATCCTAAAGGCGAGGCTGGGATAATCCACCTATTTTGGAATCCTATTTTACTTCATCTGTTTTAATTAATAAATTTAATTTCGCATTATTAGGGAAAACAAGGATAAAAAATAGAGCCTGCATATGCTTTATTACAAATTATTGTTATCAGCTGCCCCGCAGGACTCCAGTCAGCACTAAATATGAACAATGGTTAAATTACAGGGGTCAGGGAATGAGCACAATCAAAATGCAAACACTTTTCTTCTATGTGAGATGGGCAGGGGAAAAAAAAAGGAAGAATCCTTGGAACCTCCTTGGAGCCACTAGGACTGCGGAGAAGCATACCAAGTAAACTGTAAAACCGATTACTGGGCTCAAAAAGGCTAACATGCAATTTGTGTTCTTTTTATGTAGATTAAATGCATTCACTGCAGTTCATAGAGCTTAGATACTCAGCAGGGATTCAGAGGGCTGGGTATCAGTCAACCACAGCCAGCCACTAAACCACAGGGCAAATTCTGCTATTGTACATTAGAATAGTCACTTAATCTATCTTAATGGGTGAAAACCCCATGGGACAAATGTATATTAAAATCAGAAAGTTAGTTGTAATGTTTGAGGAAAGTAGCTTTTTTTTTTGAGATAACACTGTAAAACATTATTAATGAGTCTGAAATCTTCTTGAACATCTTTATGTTTAGCTTTTGAAAATACAGCTGCCCATCAGCCCAGCTCTGTGGACTGGGAGGAAACCCAAAGGCATGAGACATGCACCAAAGGGCTGTGCCTGGAATAAACCAGGGAGGAATCAAACAGGATTTCCTTTGGGTAGCTGCTGTCTCATGGGTTTCTCTTGAGAACATAAAACATGCCAAACATGAAAGTCTGGAGACACAGCTACCAGAACATTGGTGCTGTAAACAATAGTAGTGCCACCTTTCAGAAAATAACTCCAATAAAGGTAATTTTTTTTTTTTTTTTTTTTTTTTAGGGCAGTAGAGCAGAGAAAGCCCAGCCTTCTGTCTGCCTTCTTTCAAGAACTCTGGGTTACTGGAAACTGAGAAGAAATAACACAACCTTATCCTCTGCTTGAAAAGGTTCCTATTTATTTTGCTTGTGCCTGGGCTCTCCTTGGCCCCTTCTATCTTACACTCCCCCTGCAGAAGGTTTTCTCCCCCCTGCTATTTATATCCCATTTAGAGTAATTGGGGCTGCCTGCCATCATGGCTCAGAAATAATTACTTTGCCATAATTAGTCTTAAATGAGGGTTTTTACACCTGTGCTGAGGATGGCTGATCAAAACACTGGCATTCCTACATGTGGACCCTGAAATGGTGCTATGGGCAAGGACCTCAGCTCCCATGTAAAACCCCAGGGGTACAGACTGGAGGGAGATGCTTTAACAGTCATCCATCAACATTATTTTGGAAACTACTTGGTGAAAAACCCGTTTAAAGCCTACAATGTCCATTTCACCTCAACTGGACACAGGATGAGGTCTTCACCAGCTGTCTCAGCTGCCTGGTTACCAGCTGCACATGGATGCTGCAGCAGGAGAGCCATTTTTGGGCAGAAACTGCCTTATGGTAAACCTGTGCTCCAGAAGTACAATGTGAGTTGATTGGTTTGTGAACTAGAAGTGATGGTATGAGATCTGAGGACACACTGGGAACTAATGTCATATCCTGACTCATTCTGTTAATCAGACATTTGCAGTAGCCTCCAAAAAATGCATTCCTGTTGGCTGGAATGAGGACCCCAGTCAGCATGCAGCACTTGACCATGCAGGAAAACTGGATGTCCCTGAAAGCTAGAGCAAAGAAAGCAAATGACATTCAGTAGTGCTGAAGGTCAGCTCTTGCTCTCAGCGGCTGGACAAGCACTGCTGACATAAGCTGAAGGCTCCTGTATCAGAAACTACAGGTATGGCACACAAGCCTGGGAGGGTCCATCAGGCACAGAATGGCTGAGAGTCACTGCTAGGAGGTGTTAATGCTCTTCCAAGAGCAGGGAGCAAAGGTGTTTCCAGCAGAGCTGGGGAAATACCATTGCTGCTGTCTCGTGTGTAGGTGAGGCACAGGCCAGGTGAAGATGCATAGTTCTGGTTACACCTTCCTGTGGGGAATATGTTTTTATCTATGGGTTAACTTCTGCATGATTTCTCCTATGAAATCTGAATGTCTCAGACAGGAGCACTCAGCAAAAAAATCTGTTCTATTCACTCAGCTGCCCTGCACATGTCCAGACACACACACACACTCTTCAAGGCATCTCTAGGTGTGATAGAGGGACTAGGGACTGAAGCACCTCAGGCCACTTACACTGCCTGGGTAAGGGACATCTTCACATTTCTCCTGTGCAGTTCAGGCACCTGGCCCCAGTAAGCTGGTGCACAGATCAATCTGCTGGGGCACACAGGCTGCCAGCCAGGCTGGATCAAGAACAAGGGCAGATGCCAGCTCAGGAAAAGTCAGGCATAGTCCTACTGCAAGGAGGGAGCCTGGCTTCTGGTAGCAAAGGCACATGCTGCCTGCAGCACTGGCACCTAACCAGGTGGGATGGTGGGAGATGGAGATGGGATCTGGCCCCCTGTGCTGGGAGGCATGGGGGACAGAGTCCCCTTCATGCTCTGCAGCCAAGCAAACACTGCACTCCTGCCACTTGGCTGTGATTTGCATGGCAGATCAGAAGGACCAATTTCTCTCTGGATGATTTATCACTCACACCTCAGCAAGTTTTTCATAAGGTAAGGAATTTTTCAGTGCCTCAGCAACCTCCCTTGCAAGTCCTACCAAAAGCAGGATGCCTAGGGTGCCTCCTGGGTCCTGCTGGTTGGCCTTATCTTCACTCACTATGTGCCTCTGCATATTTGGTTGTCCTCCAGGACATAGATATGGCTGACATTGACAGTCACTGAAATTATTTTCCTGGCCTCTAAGAGAGGGTTAATTTGACATGCTCTTTTCTCCTGGCTTAATTCTGTGTTTTCTTTAAGTGAAATACAAATGCAGATCTGCCATAGTCCTTGTTTTCTGTCACAGTCTGTTGCCTACCTGCCATGTGAAAAGCAGGTTTCTGTTTTGATAATTACAGGTTGCCTATAGACTGCATGGCAGGGGCTACATGTTTCTTTCATTCAGACTACCCTGTTTTCAATATAATCTCCCAATCTTTTTCACCTGTTGGCCTTAACCTTCCACAAGCAATGAGAAGACCACTAAGAGTTGTGAAGTCTGATTTCCTCCTTGCTTCCATAAGGTCATCAAATTGCATTCATCATGTATTGACTGCGTCTGTTTTGCCATTTAATTTTGTTCAATAGCTATATCACACATGGAGGTAAAGTATGAACATCTGCTTCAGTACAAGAGCTTCAAGACCAGTCAAAGTCATTGTTATAATTCCACCTTAGAAACTATAAAGTCTGCATCCACCATTCTACTGGGAAATAGGCATTACTGTAGTCTATGTTTAACAACCCACTGCTTAACCCATTGCTGCACACCAATGTGTCATGAAAAATATACTGGGATTTTCAGACTACAATAACTTTTCTACCCATGATGTTGAAGAAGGGAAAGATCTGGAACTTGTAAAAGATTAGGTGGTTTTCAAAAACTTGACCATTTTTCAGGAAGCATTGAGTTTTAGAGACCATTTTTGGAAAAAATATTAAAACTGGCCTTTCTATTACACCATTCAAGTATTAAATATGTTTTAAGTGAGGGATTTTCTTCTGCATATTAAATTTATCTTCCAGACATCACTCCTTTTGGTACTGTAACTAGAAGATGAAATGATAAAAGACACTAAATTACACAGTCTGAGATATTCTGGCTAATGTCTCTATTTTAAAAGCCAATATACACAGTGGTATTTACAACTCTTGCCTGGAGAATGGCTTATCATAATTTTCTTTTATTAAAGATGTTTGAAGTATATCTCACCCTTCTCCAAGGACAAAGACATCCCCAGGAGTAAGGAAATCATATGGCTCCATTTCACTTTGATCCATAACAGGGAAGAAAACTCCAAATGCCCATTGTGGTGCTAGCCAAGTGTCATGACTTCAGGTCACAGTCACCATCAAGCTGTCACAGAATTATAGAACTGTGGAATCATTTAGCTTGGAAAATACCTTTAAGATGATCAAGTCCAACCCCTAACCCTGCACTGTCAAGTCCACCACTGCAGCATGTCTCTAAGCACAACATCTACACTTCCTTTAAATATCTCCAGGAATGGTGACTCAACCATTTGCATGGGCAGCCTGTGCCAATGCTTGGCAACCCCTTAACTAAAGACATTTTTCCTGCTTTCCAATCTAAACTTCTTCTGGTGCACTTTGAGGCCATTTCCTCTCATTTGTTACCTGAGAGAAGAGGTTGCTCCCCACAGCTGGTTACAGCCGGCTTTCAGGCATCTGCAGGGAGTTATAAGGTCCACCCTGAGCCTCTTTTTCTCCAGGCCAAATAACTCCAGCTTCCTCAGCTGCTCCTCATCAGATTTTTGCTGCAGACCCTTCACCAGCTCCTTTGCCCTTCTCTGGACAATTTCCTTCCTGAAATTAGGGGCCCAAAACTGAACACAAGATTTGTGATGTGGCCTCACCAGTACCCAGTACAGGAGACAATCCCTGCCCTGGTGCTGCTGGCCACACTATTGCTGACACAGGCCAGGATGCCATTGGCCTGCTTGGCCACCTGGGCACATGCTGGCTCATGTTCAGCTGGATCCAGGTCCTTTTCCACTGGGTAGCTTTCCAGCTACTCTGCCCTCAGCCTATAGCACTGCATGGAGTTGTTGTGGCTCAAGTGCAGCACCCAGCACTTGGCTTTGTTGAACCTCATACAATTGGCCTCAACCCACTGGTCCAGCTTGTCCAGATCCTATCCAGTATACCCATCCAGGCTGTGAGCAGCCAGATTCTCCAGAATTCTGTGTAAAACAGTGCCAAATGCTCATCAGCCTCTCTGTTGAATTATGCTCCATGCCTTGACTGATAGTCAAACACCCTTCTGGAGTGTTTTGGGTGCAACATAGATAGAAATAATTGACAACACCTTATGTGCATCATCACTTGTAAGGGATGATGTCAGCTCCAATAGGTTCATGCAACACATGGTTTGCATTTTAGCTCATTGCTGGTTCTTGGGATTAATAGTGGTACGCACTTAAATATGTGATATTTACTGACATTGCTACAAATTCACTGCTACCTGCTTTTTCATGGTCATTGCTAAATGACACATCCTGCCATCTGAGACTCTCTGATCCTGATAGCAATGAGGTCTAATGCAGGAGTGTGCTGGTTTTGGCTGGGGTAGAGTTAATTTCCTTCACAGTGGCTGGTATGGGGCTGTGTTTTGGATTTGTGCTGAAAACAGGGTTGATAATATAGTGTTTTTGTTACTGCTGAGCGGGCTTACACAGAGCCAAGGCCTTTCCTCCTTTTTGTACTACCATGCTGGTGAGGAATTTGGGGGTGCAGGGGAGGCTGGGAGGAGAGACACAGCCAGGACAGGTGACCCCAGCTGACCAAAGGGATATTCCAGACCATCTGACACCATGCAGTACAGGAAATGGGGGAAGAAGGATGAAAGGGGGGATTTTTGAAGAGATGGGGTTTGTCATCCCAAGTCACTGTTACAAGTGGTGGAGCCCTGCTCTCCTGGAGATGGCTGAACATCTGCCTGCCCATGGGAAGCAGTGAATTAATTCCTTGTTTTTCTTGCTTTCCCTATGAAACTGTCTTTATCTAAACCCACAAGTTTTCCAGCTCTTACCCTTCCATTCTCTCCCTGATCCCACTGGTGGGGCTATGAGGGAGTGGCTGTGTGGAGCTTGGCTGCTGGCTGGGGTTAAACCACAACAAGAAGGTAAAAGAGTTCTTTGTAAGACAACAAAAATAATTGAAACATTTTGACTTCACACAAGTAAATTACATGGGTTGTGCTATATTAATGTAAAGAAAATTATGCATTCACCAGATAATGGTGATGCTACATCAATCAAACATATTAGGGAAAAATGAGCAATGTGGGCTTGGAAACTTAAAAGTACTGTGACAGCTTCTGTAT